ATGACTCGCTATTAAATACTTTCATAGCTCAGTCAATAATCTTTACGAAAACAAATAAGTTTTTCGAATTATATTTCTTTTTTTATCTATTCTCCATTAACTAATCATTAACTGATTATTAATCATTAATGTTTTTCTAAAATCTCGAGCAAAGATAATCGGAGGGAGAAACCAGAATCCGAGGTCAATCTTACTTTTCTTATACTAGTGTTTTTAGTAAATTTTTTTGGTCAGAAAAATTGATGAAAGGCTATTAACGGTAAAACATCTGAACCTATGATTAGTTTCTGTTAACAGTATAGCAAGAGTAACGAGTAGTAAGATTTACGAAATATTTCGCTCTTTGAAATTGTGTAAATAAATAGGTTGCTGAGAGTTCAGAAACAGCATTTCTACGACAAAGAGCTGAGCGAGTGCACGGACGAGCGTTACTTGTTATTTTTAAAATGTTAAATGATTAATATTAAAAAATGAATGTAATAGTAATCTTAAATTATATGAATCCAAGCTAAAAACAAAACGAAGAAATTTCTTAATAAGATTGTCAATTTATCAAATATTAAACATTTAACAATGACAAATACATGTTATATGATATCATCATCACCATTATTATTAGAAATATTAAAAGAACTTTCATACGTATCATCATTAGAAATTGAGAAACATACTTTATTACCATTTCTTAATAATCATCAATTATGTGAATATTTAAATAGAAAGATTAAAACATTAGATATATCTATTAATTTCATTGATTATCCTATTACATCGAATGAAGTGGATTTGATTTGTAAAACATTTTCAAATTTCGAACAACTTCATTGTTATATGGGAGAACTCGATAATTTATTATCAATATTGAGACAATGTTTAAAATTATCAATAATAAACATCCAACCTATTAGTGAAGATATATATATTCATGCATGGTATAAAACGGTGACATGACAGTTGAGCCCCCATTAAACAGGAGATTAAAGAGTACAAGAAAATAATTTTTTTTGAATAAATTTTGGGAGGTGAATCGTGCAATGTTGTTGCACTATTTCTAATATTTGATTTAAATTTCATTGGCG